GCCAGCCCGAGCCGCACGACTTGGAGCACTCGCCCCACTCCTCGATCACCCACTCCGAGGAGATGATCTCCCTGATGGCGTTGAAGGATTCCTTCTTCCTGCCGGCCGCCTTGTCCGCGCCGGGCTGCGCCGGCTTCTTCACGAAGTAGGTGAACTTGATCTTGGGCTGCGGCAGGTCCCCCACCGTCAGCACCTGGATGGTCAGGGGCTCCTTCAGGGGGCTGAAGCTGCGGATGCGCTCCAGGGCGGCCGAGGAGCCGCTGTAGCGCAGCACGCTGCCCTTGTAGGTGATGTCCTGCTCCAGCGTGGACAGCGTGTAGTCGCCGTTGAGGACGTAGGTGCCGTCGGCGGCTTTGATGGCCAGGAAGCTGCCGTCGTGCCTCGCGCCCCGGTGGTTCCGCTGCTTCACCTCGATGTTGGTCGCCCCCGCCGGGATGGTGACCACGTCGTGGTAGCCAGGTCTGCCAGGGAGAAAAGAGAAACACTGAGTCCTCTGCTGCTCCCTGGGAAGGGGGAAAAAGCCTCCCAGCACACGGCTAAACCGTGTGTGAAGTCAAGGCATTCAGCTTGTCAAGGGGTGAATCCCACCCAGGCTAAACCGTGTGTGAAGTCAAGGCATTCAGCTCGTTAAGGGGTGAATCCCACCCACACAGACCAGGTGGGGCAGAGCCCTGCACTCACCTGGCTCTAACGAGGGTGCCAGACACCTTCTTGCAGGTGGAGCCGTTGCCCCCGCAGATGCCGCACTTGTCGAACTTCTTGTTGGAGCCGATGGTGCGGTCGCAGCCGGCCTTCACACACTGCCCCTGCACGCACACAGACGTGGAGTCGGGGCTGCACGGGGTGCCATCCACCACCTGGGGGACACAAGGAGCCTTGTGACAACAAGCACAGCGCTCTGAAACTGCCCAAGGCGAAACACGGACAGGCGGGAAACCCGCAGCACCTCCCGTTTTCAGGGCTTTGGAAACTGAAAACCAGAGCAGCCCACAGGTAGCTGGAGGTATGTGGTGCTACTTCTCAGTTGCAAAAATGGTGCCATGGTGAGAGAAGAAAAAAACCCTCAGTTTTCATTAACACCTCCCCCCAAAACAGCTACTGTTTTACTGATTTCATATGAAAAAAGCCCCATTGCTTTCTAGTGTCACTACAAGGCAGACATGTCCTCAAAGCACACTGCCAGCGCTGCTTCTAATGCTGTTCAGCACATCCTTTATTTCTAGGAGTGCTGTTCCACAAAAACCCTCTGTGTCATCGCCCTGGTAGTTCCTGGCTCTCACCATCTGATGACAGCAAATTCAAGTAGCTATGCAAGATGAACATTTTTCCTCGTGTTTATTTTCAGCTGTCAGCATATTAGTAACCAGTATGAGAAAGCACCAATGTTCTGGCAAAGATCCCTCAGGGTTTTCCAAACCTATCTCAATGCAATCAGATTGGTGGAAGGAAACCAGGGCGGAGTGGGTAGAGGAGGTGTGTCAAAACACTTAAAGCTTGCTCGCAATTCCTCCAGCTGTACATGGAGGAATAATCTAGCTTAAATACGAGAAAGACAACTTCAGATTTCTACACTGCTTGACTCTTCACACAAAGAGAGAAAATAAAAATCCTCCTCAGGTCAGCTGGAAGAGGTACAGCTTTGAAATACCTTTGGCTGTAGAACAAAGAAGTATCCTGTTCCTTTGGCTCTGCAAACCAGCTTGCATCTGTCCTTTGGAGACACACCAGCAAACTTGGGTGTCCACTCCACTGCAGGTCCACTTCCAAAGGCAGACTTGGAAAACTCGTTGTGCTTTTCACACTGTTCCTCCCTGAACGTTTTGCCTGCAGGCAGAGAAAAGACAGGTGGGCATGAGATCATCTCTGTCCATGCTCTTCCTCCAGAGCGCACCAATCCTGGGTGTCAAAAACGGGGGGAAATTACCGTTGTTGTCGGGGCAGTCCTCGATGTTGCAGGACCTGTACTGCACCCGCTTCCCTTCGCAGTACTTGCCCCCGTTCCTCGGGATGGGGTTGTCACACTCCCTGAAGGAATACTGCACTCCCCCGCCGCAGCTCCGGGAGCACTCGCCCCACGCCCCCCAGGACCCCCAGCTCCCGTGCACCGGCGTCTGGAACCACAGCAAAAAGCAGGATGCAAGTTAATACAGGAAACCACAGACAAAACCACACCATGAAAGGCATCATCGTGCTCATTTTTACCCCAACTCATTAGGAAAACCTGCCCCAGGTTTGTTTATTAGCACTGAAACAACCCCTTCCAACAGATCCCTCCCGCTGCAGCATTCCCCACGCGGCTCTGCAACCCAAGCTGCACCCATTTCTTTTTCACTACTTACATCATAATGCTTCTTCTCAGTCTTATTCACACACTTGCCATTCATGCACCACTTCCCTTCCCCGCAGCTGGTGCCGTCTGCCCAGGGGAAGTGTTTGGTTTGGCACACGAGCAGCCCTCCCGAGGTGCCGGTGCACCACAGCGTCGTGCACGTACTGGCTGCGTCGGGGCAGTGCTTGGACTCATCTCCAAACGTGAACTGGCACTGCCTGTTGGCATCGTACAGCGTGCCAGGCAAGTCTGAAGGGAGCTGGATGGGCCTGTGGGGCTTGTCCAGCAAACACTCCCCTGAAAAAGTTGAAAAAAGAAGGAAAAAAATAATTAAAAAAAAAGAAGTCAGATGATGCCGTGGGTTCAGTTTTAAAAAGGAGCTGCACTTGCTTTGTAACAGAAGCCTTTGAGCCCATTTGTGCCACCATTTTTGTAAAAATAAGGCTCTTCTTAACTCACTGACAGCATGCAAAAGGTTAAGTCTGTGCTGAAGCAGAAAGCACTCTTAAAAAAAAAAAAAAGCAGCAAAGCAGTAAAGCACAAGAGCTCAAACGCCCCATGAATGGAAAGCTTAATAGCCTTACCATGACCGTTATCCAAAAATGTTGTAATCATGTAGGCACTGCATGGAGACCAGGGCTGGCTGCGGTCCAGGTTGGAGAGCATGGATGCCATCATGTGGAAATCCCGGCTCATTCCATTGATGCCAGCACACTGCTTTGCATCGTCATGAGGCATGTTAAACACGTGGCCTTGGAGAAAAGGAGAAAAGCAAAGTCTGTGACTTTAGGAAGTCTGTCCTATGCATTACCAACAGTATTTCAACAACAGTATTCTGCTCACAGCCTGGTCTGTAATTAATAACCCGAATCTGAACACTCCCAGATTTCAAGCAGATGGCACTGGATCTTCTCTCCCCTTATTTTTTATTTTTTCCCTCTGCAGGCACACACACAGCTCTCGCAGACAATGCTGTGCGGGCCGGATTTGCTTTCCAGAGTCCAAGCCTGCTCCAAGACAGGGCTTTGCCTCCTCCCGACTGCTCCGGGGAGGTGCAGGCTGGGCTTTACGGCATCAAGCTGGCTTCAATTAATCCCAGGGAACGGCTTTGCAATGTTTCAAGTACCTAATTCGTGGGCTGTTGTGAAGGCAGCCTGCAAACCATCGTCTTCTATGATAGAGCAACTGCGGTTTAGATCACAAACTGTTCCCACATCAGCCATCCCAAGAGTATCACATGTCTTGGCACCGCACAGGTCCTGTAAAAAAAAAAGGCAGTTTCATTATTAATCAGATCAGAGACTTAACCTTGGCAAGAGCCATCCAGCCCTGGCAGTTTGCCTTTACTTATGGAAAGAGCATAAATATTCAGCACTTCAATGGGTATGATGGCAAAAATCTGTCTCTGGAACATAGGCGAGGGTTACACGTAGAAATGAAATGCGTAATTTCCATCTGAAATCTGCTAAAAATATATGGGGCAGGAGCACAGTGCACAATCTGTGAGTTTAGAAGGACGGTGCACAAACCGTGAGCTTCACCAGACGCGGTGCAAACAGAAAAAAAAAAATAAAAAAAATGAATGAAACAAAAAGCAGCTCATCTAATTTTTAGCCTGCTTCCCTGCAGCTGTGGTGACACACGACTGTCCCCGGACACGTTTTTGGAGGTCTCCTGGCAGAGGGAGCCTCCCGGGGTAGGGAGCAGCGGGCGTGGGGCTGGGTGTGCCCTCGGTGTCCCTCACCTGCCTGGTGAAGAGGATGGCCGTGTCGTAGTGCTCGGCGTGCCGGTCGCTGGGAGGGTTGTGCTGCTTCTGCCAGCTGCAGAAGTTCCTCAGAGTCAGGGCGGCGTTGGAGGAGATATCCGGGCCCTTGCGCTCCTCGTAAATGACCATGATCTTCACCACCACGAGGCTGATGGAGTTGCGGATGCTGGGGTGCTTGTAGAGCTTGGCGGCCACGGAGAGCAGGGTCAGCAGGTAGTGCTTCAGCCCGCTGCCGTGGAACTCGGCCATGGACTGGTCGGCCACCAGCATCGTCTCCACGTAGCGGGGGCTGGACACGAACCTCTTCTTCCTCCTGCTTCTCGTTTCTGCGTTAAAAAAGAAGGACGGGAGGGTCGGAGAGCGCAGGTGAGCACGGCAAGAGCGCGCACCCACGGACGCTCAAGATGCGCACCCGAGGCTTGCGCGATCCCCGCACCCAGCTGGGCACCTCGGGGCGAGCAGCGGCGGGGCCATCCCCGCCAGAACC